CTGGGCCAACTGTACGACGCAGCTTAGTGAGGCTCACGCGTCCACTCAACCAACTGGCGGGCTGCAACAGCCTGAATACCCATATATGAAAATGTCGAATTTTGGCCTCTTAGGGCGGGTACTTGGCTTGCTGGGGCCCTCTGTATGTCTGATAGGGGGCCCGTGAGGGCTCGTTCCTCGCAGTGACTACTGTGTGCACTCTGTGTCCCTGTGCAATATAAGAGTTTTGGGAGTGGATCTGTACATGCTAATGGACGGTTCCGGAAGGAGGCATTTATTGCTTCCCCAATGGAGAAGGATTGACCTCCTGCCATGTAAGCCACCAAACAGGGACTGTTCCCCGATCAAGCGTCAGCAACCCAAGAAAACAAACCACACATCAACACAAATAACCCTTGTCAACTAACGCCCTACCAGAAGAGCGAACAGCAGCTCCTCCCCAGTCGCCTCCCACAATCGTGGCGCAATGGGACTCACTTATAAAAGGTTCAACGGATTCAAAAAAGGATTAGCTCACTCATATGAGTGGGACAGGTTGCAACCACAGTGATTAGGGTTAAGGGGCCGGGTAACCCTTGACAGGCAAAGACCCGTCACCACCTAACCCACCCCTACCCGCGGCAAAAGAGGAACAAGGGGTCAAGGAGAGGAAGATTCGGCTGGTGCGTAACAGCATGGGAGAGAGAGGGGAGAGCGGAACACACAGTCAAACCCAAGCCTGAGACTCACTTCCAGTGATTACCCTCCACTGTTACCACAGCGATCGATGTCTCATAAGCCGCAATGAAGCAAATTGGCCTCCACTGCAGGTATTGTCACAGTAGCTGTCCTTGCTGATGATGCTGTTGTTGATGACATTGTCATTGCAATCGTTGTAGTTGTTGTCCTTGCTATTGTTGTTGTTGTTGTTGTTGTTGTTGTTGTTGTTGTTGTTGTTGTTGTTGTTGTTGTTGTTGTTGTTGTTGTTGTTGTTGTTGTTGTTGTTGCTGTTGCAGTCTTTGATCTTGTTATTGTTGATGTCGTTGTTGTTGTCATTCGTGGCGTTTCCACTGTTATCGGTGGCAGGCCACCGATTGGGAGATCCGCCTTTTGGCCCACCGGTTATAAGGTGCCGCCAATCGTGGAGAGGCGGGAACAAGCTGCCATTCTTCCGACCCTCCCTGGATGTCCCCTTCCTCAAGTGGTGGTTGTCCTTCTCCTGCGACGAACATCTGATCACACATGTCAGATTGCGCAGGCAACCCCGCTTCCAGAGCAGCACACAGATCACACCCTTCCTCAAAGATATCATAGCAATGCTGCATCAGAGTATGCGCTTGTCGCCAGTTGATAAACTCATCCAGCTGAGGAGCCGGCCCCTCCTCCAACTCCCAGATAACATCCAGCATGCTCTGCATCATATCGTCCAGCCATCGGATCAACGCGGGTGCCCCCCCATCAGCCTCAGACCGATCCCCTCGCCTCGTGAACAGAGCATCCACGATATCCTGGAAGCGGCGATGACCTTCCTGGATGGTCAACAGCCACTCAGCCGCGCCTTGCTGTAAGCCGCTCGTTGAAGCCATCTGAAGCACCATGTCAGCTGATGTGCCACTAAAGACGCGCCTACGAACTCCCACTTTTACCTGCTAACCCCATACACAGTGAGGCTTCCATGTCAGCGTCAGCGCTGACGCGAAGCAAGACGAACGGCTCAGCCATTAGCCACTTCAGCAGACGTAGGCAGCTGATCGCACGGAAGGCCGCCGGGCCCTGCTGGCTGCGATTGCGTGGAGTGTTAGCGCACTGGCGCAAATGCTACGGACCCAAAACAAGCTGTATGATGTGGCTTTTTTCCTTAGCATGACCTCCATCCCCTGGGTTTCAAAAAAAAATGGAAAAAGGGAAGAAGGCACAGACCCGTCTGGTGGGATGTACGTGGCCGTGCACGCACCAGTACGTTTCCCAGGTATATTTTGCAAGAACACGGCCGTGCACGCACCGCGTCTGGTGGGATGTTCCGACCTGCTGCCAGGCAAAAAATTCATTGAGGCAAAACGGGCCATGCATGCACCACGATTTGCTTGGATGTATATTTGTTGCGCGGCCGGATGGGCCAGACGCGGTCCGTGCATGGCCGCGTTCTCACAAACCAGGCAAATTGTGGTGCATGCATGGCCGCGTTCTCACAAAACGGGTCATGCATGCAGCACAAACCAGGAAACGTACACTGGTGGTTCAAACTGTGCTGAGTCAGCATATACACGTCAGTTCGGTGGCTCCTTTCTACTGATTGGTGGTAGGACCTGCCACGGACCGGGGGCCAAGTCCCACTTACCCTTGTTCTCAATTTCTGACCGTAGATTATGAAGCCCAACCGCCACAAATGTAGGATCTGGGCAAGTGGGACTTCACCCTGGGTAATCACAGAGAAACTCTACTCCTCATAGGCATGCCAGGACATTTCTACAATTTGGCCAAACATCGATCTTCCATTGCATCTTACTTGGGACATAACCTATCGCCCCCCACATGCCAGGACATTTNCCTATCGCCCCCCACATGCCAGGACATTTCTACAATTTGGCCAAACATCGATCTTCCATTGCATCTTACTTGGGACATAACCTATCGCCCCCCACCCTCCCCCTCTTCCCCATCTCCCAAAAATGAAAAAGGAAAACAAAAGTGAATGGCCCCCAATAATGACTGGTTTCATTTTGATTTTGATTTTTGCCTCGAGTTGGATGATGGCGTGTTCCACCAAGTCCGTTATGAGTAGAGTAGCACAAGGATGAACAGAAAGAATCTGTGTTCCTACCTCTTCCACCGAACGACACGCCCAGATCATGAATGTATACAAGCCATCTCTTTGAGTCCCGTGATGATGGTACATTGTGCTGGGGGAAGACAGTAGTCACTGTGTCCCTTTTTTTTTTTTTTTTTTGACCATTTGTCGATTTATGCGTGTCCCATAATATTTCTGCAAAAGGGCAGGAGAACAGACCTTTATTCGATACTGCTTCCTTGCGGCATAATATATGGCCCCGAATGGGACAGGCATCACATGTCAAGTCCGTTATGAGTACAAGCTCAAATTACTTGAACACAAGTCCCACACTACAGCATCTAAGATGAGCAGCACCAGCGTGCCTAGGGTCTTCTGCCGAATAGAACACGTGGTCATCATGGATGCATACAAGCTATTTTTCCGACCAGATGCAGTCACGGCACCTGCGTGCCTAGGGTCTTCCCCTGAACAGAACACATGGTCATCATGGATGCATACAAGCTATTTTTCCGACCCGATGCAGTCATGATGGGAGTGGATTTGGGTGAAGACTGTAGGAGAGTTCATCTTATTGAATCTTCAAGGGTGCTCTCTTTCGTATGCTGCCTTCATTCACGGAAAGCACAAGCCGAAGCTTACCCTGTACGTTTACCTGGTCGATTTGTGAGGTCCCAGTCTCATCTCAGCCTCTGTAATAAATCTGTCACCCCCCTGGCCCCCCCAACCCCCACCACCAGCCCCCCTCCTCGAAAAAAGAAAAAACCATGAAGGAAACTAAGCCGCCACTATTCTGCCCATCCATACCATCAGATCAAGGAAGGCGTCCCCCCCTCCACTGGGGATAGAGGTGCATATGGAGGAGAATACAATCACTAAGGAGGACTGGGAGGATCTGGCACAGCAGCCTCACTCACCACCCTGCCACGGCAGCACGAGAGGCCCGAAACGGTTCTCACGGGAAAGGACTGTCAAGGCTAGGCTCAAAGTCATAACAGACACCCTACTCATGGGACTCCTGGCTCAAGGGACCCATATGACCATTCCCCCACTACATTGGGAGAGCATTCGGAGAACCTTTATGAACACAGCATCACTAATACACTACATTGACAGCTTCCCTAACCCCCCTTCGATTGGCTGGCACACGGTAGCAATGCGGATCAGAGATGCCATCTATGAGCTCAGGGAAAGAGTGCGAACAATGAGACAGCAGACAATGATACAGCTGAGGAGGTCACTGGCCGGGACGCCCGTGAAGGGGGCTGCGGGGAGAGAGGGCTGCGCTCGCGCTAGCACCCTGATGCCGGCAGACCGGTAAGGCCCAGTCCTCCCGGCTAGACTAGCACCTGGGGAGAGGAGCTCCCCAGCTGCTAGGCCTGTGCGCGCGCCCGGCAGACGCGCGTCGCCCCTTGATGGGACACGTGGCAGCTGCTGTTGGTGACATGGATGACCGTGAAGTGCGGGCAGGGGTAGCGCCAGCCGTGACATCAACGACGAAACGCATAGAGGCGCAGCTATCTGGGTTGGCGATGGAGATGGTTGGGGAGCTACAGCACGAAGATAACCACTTTGACACTGATGACAACGTCTGGCATGGAGGCGATGGTGGGCAAGATGAGGAAGATGTGGTCAAGTACTACACAAACATATGTGCAGTCTGCGAGGATTGCGAAACCGAAAGCGAGAGGAGCTGGGGAGCTGTCGTGCCACTGAGGGGCAGTGATGAGCTGTTGCATACCGTATAGGCGCAGACCAGAACAAGAACCGACCTTTCAATACAAAGTATAAGATAGCACAGCGGAAGACTTAGATACCAGTGATCCGAACAATCAATGTTGTAATGCAGCCCTGAACATACATCATCATCATCGTTTCATAGTGTGAATGGGTCTGGCGCTTCACACAGGAAGACAGCGCCAGCCCAGAACATGCACAGACGAGGAGGAAGGGGATAGACGAAGAGGAGGGGAAAGATGGGAATGT